TATATATATGAATATGATTCTCCATGTTCTTGCTGTTGACTTTTACTCAAGTGTTTACGGTTTAGGTACTTTGAGTTAAAGTTAATGAAGGCCTTATGACTTAAAAGAAATTAGATTACTGCCATACTGAGCGTATCTGCTAATGATCCAAGTGTGGTGCACCATTGTAAATTGTTTGTTTTCACTGACAGCGTCTCCTCCAGGAAAGGTCCAATTTTTGAAAGTACAGATGAACCTGCTCTAACGGCATCCTGTCTAAGACAATCACTCGTACAAATGATTACTTCCTATTTCTTCTATTTTAATATTAAACAAAAATTATTCTGACACCACTCAAAACAAGAACCTCTCTATACAATGTCTGGCTGTGGCTAAAACAGCAGCTAGTGATGGAAGGCTGGTGCCTCTATGAATAAATCGTTAATGGTTACAGTCCATTGGAAGGCTGGTGCCTCTATGAATAAATCGTTAATGGTTACAGTCCAACGGATCGGTGGGGCCTCTATGAAAATATCGTTAATGGGTACGTTTAAATGATGGCTTGTTCCTGTAGGAATAAACCCTTAACAGTTATTGACAATTTCGACAGTGTATAGATATGGCCACATGTGTAAGAATCCCCAGATTAAGAGAACAGACCGTCACTGTCTTTGCCTATTTTTGAGATTTCACGGTTTACAAACGATATTCCTCCAAGCATAGTTGTGGCTGGCGCTGACTTTAAAAGTTTTAATAATAGTTTGCTTCTAGGATTTCTTATCATGGTGCCTAAAATTTGTACAGTCCAAAAGTTTCCTTCAATGTAGTATGTTGTTGTATTTCCTCAATATATCCCACAGAATTCCTGTCCAAGCTAGCTAGCCAACTTTGGGACCAGAGTAAGAATGGGCTTGATGAACCGGATGTCCGTCACCATTGTACTGACAGCAGCTCTGCTCCTGTCTGCCCACGCATGGGTGCTCCAGATCACAAATGACGAAGTGGAGGTCGGCAAAACAAAAAATATATCTTTGAAATGCGTCAACGTTTATCCCCTGACTGTAGTCTCTGAGATTGTCAGGATCAGAATCTTGAAATTTGAGGCTGACGAATGGAACAGCGTGGCCGAAGTTAGTGACAGAGGCAATGATCTCCAAACAAAGTCTAATAACGTGCTGGCGGAGGCCAATAGCGGCGCCATTGCCAGTAGGTTTCTGCGGATTACCTGGCCAGTGGCGACCAACGGTACTCTTGGCCAGTACCGTTGTGATGTCATTAGTTTGACGGCGCAAGAAAATGTAATGTGGCACAAAAGCCTGCCCATTTTAATTACGCGTAAGATCGTCACGGTACAGACCCTGAGCTACAAGATGGAGGAATACAAACAGCAGTGTCTGAAACAGACGCAAGACGTGCTAGCAAACGCCACGGAAACCATAGAGGTCGTTGAAGCTGAGTTGGAGAGCAAGTTGGAGAGCCAGATAGAGGTGAGAATCTTTCTCCAAGCGTTTGTTCCCCAATATTGACCAATAAACAATTCCCCAGGTATAGCGTATCCAGAAAAGGAAAACTGTAATACTCTCACAGAACTAGAACATTTGTCAGAGTGAGTTAAAGTGTACTGAAATCAAATCTTGAAAACGGGAAAGTTTTGCAGAATTGTTCGACTATTATGTTAGACTGATGCCTAAAGTTGTACTGGAAGTTTCCAGAAATGCTTTGTCACTGAAAAAGCCATCTGTTTCACTCTTGGAATTTGGCAACTAACATTTGGTTTGAAAGAGTTGTAATGTGATTAGCTTTGTTTGTAGGGAGAATGTCATGTGGCAGAAAAGTCTACCGTTGTTCATGACCTTTAAGAGTGATGTCACTGTACAGGTCCTGAGCCACACAATGGAGAACATCACAGAGGAACTTGATCAACTACGATCAGAGACGGAAGGAACCGTAGAGACGCTGGAGGCGGGATGGGAGTCCAAGTTGGAAAGTCAAAAGCAGGTGAGTAATAATAATAATATTGATGATGATGATAACGGTGATAATAATGAAAGTACTGCTAGTACTGCTACTTCTATAAATGATAGAAATAATCTAAATAATGATATAACGTTGCACCATTGTGCTATAATCTGGCGCTCATCAAAATAAGGAAGTCAAAGAAACCGACATTTTCTCACCCCTTATGTTATTTTTATCCTTTTTTTTTCTTTTAAGTGGCTCAAAAAACATATTAATATATACAAGTATATATATAATATGTCTTTTTTAAAGAATAATTCTGTGTTGGTTTTTAACTGAAAAAGTTTGATCACAAAAAATTTTAATTAGCAGTTTCCATGGACACTCAAGCTTTTAGAGGAAGTCTCCAAATTTTGGCGGCCATTTTCTGGCTAATTTTACCAGGTGACCCCCACCCCCTTCTTTGGATGTATCTCGACTTTTATTTGAGATAGATATCTATTGTTTTCATCAAAAGCAAGACAAACGAACGAAACGTAAAGATGATTTCAAAAACTATATTCCCTAAAATTTCTGAGCGCCTGATTCCATCGTGTCATGACACAAACGATAGTAATTGCGATGATAAGAGTTTTGATAAAAATAGGGAGTGTTTAATTGGGTTACATATAGCACTAATAAATTAACCACCATAATCCTCCTAGACCTATGCGATACTGTGGGTCCAGATTGGTGGGATGTGTTGAGACTTTGTCCGACACACTTTGCTGCGTTTGGTCTTCTGCAAGCTGGGCTTAGATTCTACTACTACTACTACTACTACTACTACTACTACTACTACTACTACTACTACTACTACTACTACTACTACTACTACTACTACTACTACTACTACTACTACTACTACTACTACTACTACTACTACTACTACTACTACTACTACCACTACTACTACCACTACTACTACTACTACTACTACTACTACTACTACTACTACTACTACTACTACTACTACTACTACTACTACTACTACTACAGCTGCTGCTACTACTGCTGCTACTACTGCTACTACTACTATAACTACTACTACTACTACTACTACTACTACTACTACTACTACTACTACTACTACTACTACTACTACTACTACTACTACTACTACTACTACTGCTACTACTACTACTACTACTACTACTACTGCTGCTGTTACTGCTGCTGCTGCTGCTGCTGCTGCTGCTGCTGCTGCTGCTACTACTTTCTCATTCAGTTAGCCTAGTTTTTATCTCTGTGCATAACAACAGTGTGCCAGGTACTGTAGTTTCCGCCAAAGATCCCCCGCTTACGATCCCGGTTAACTTAAGATCGCCGTCCCGCTGTTTTGAGATAACAGAATTTTTATTATACAAAAGTCACCCCTAAGATCCCGCTCTGATATACTCTGAAGATCTACATTCGGCTGAAACCCCTCATTTCATATCATGATTTACGGGACAAAAACCAGGAGAGGGGGGGGGGGGGGGAAATGCACAGCCGATCAACAAAGAATGAAAAGTTGAGATCAATGAAATTGCGCTGCCCGTCGCGTCAAAGGTCAGCCACTCTCATGAGTGTGATCACATAAGCGTTGTAAAACTCTATGAAATGGTACAATGTTTGCCCCAAACGGGATCACACCGAGGTGTGAACTGACAACCCATTTCTTTACCCCAAATATCTCACTCGCCTGGCTGAGCTCTCCACCTAAACTTACATCACTCGCTGGGTGGATAGGGCGTTTTCTGATCGTCTAGGGGTAGGGCCTTCATGTTTGCTCCAGGGGGGATCACATCGAACTGTGAACTCTTCCCTGACCTTTGCAGCAGTAAATTATCTCTATTCTCGAATTTGCGAGACAGACTAAACTTTAATTGGTGTGGTCACGCAATGGTGCGTAACGACATTGGTGGGGGGGGGGGGGGAGACTCAATCAGACAGGTAAAGCTATTTAAAGATAAGGAGAGGGGCAACTGGATAAACGTAAAACTTGAGACCAGCGATAGGATAATAAGTGTAAATGGCACGCCTCATGCCACTGTGATTGGTCATCAAGGTTGGCCACTCTTTGCTCACCATAATACGTCAGAAACCCACCCAGGGGTCACGTCTGTTCATTTTAGAGTGGAGGGAGACCATTTTACCTGTTGTGGGCCTTAGCGTGGGTCACCGTAGATTCTTCCCTTGGTCCGTCGGCTAAGATCCCGTTTGCCTAAGATCCGACTTTTTCCTTACTCCCGAGCACTGGGATCTTAGGAGGAGACTACTGTATTTTGTCATCTTTAAGAATTAAATTATGTAGGTGTTTTTTTATGTCCCCGTCTATGGGATTTGTTGGATATAGATTCTTTGTGATTTGTTGAGACCTGTTCGATTCACTTCACCGCTCTCGGCATTCAGTCGATCTGGATTCTAGATATTACTCAGGGGCTGTGTTGCTAAGAGACAAAGTTCTATCAAAAATCTATCTTCCTTATCTCTCCTCCTTCTTTCCTAACATCTATCTTCCTTATCTCTCCCCCTTCTTTCCTAACATCTATCTTCCTTATCTCTCCTCCTTCTTTCCTAACATCTATCTTCCTTATCTCTCCTCCTTCTTTCCTAACATCTATCTTCCTTATCTCTCCCCCTTCTCTCCTATCAAACATCTATCTTCTTATCTCTACTCCTTCTTTCCTATCAAACATCCTTATCTCTCCTCCTTCTTTCCTATCAAACATCTAGTGTCCCTATCTCTCCTTCAATTTTGTGTGTGTTACTTTCGGTGTTGCAAGTGCTGTAAAACTCTTACTCAAACAAAAGCTGGACAACAATCCAAACCCTTCTTTGTGACTTCACTGCACAGGTCCTGAGCCAAGCGGTGGAGGATAAAATGAGATTTTGTGTAAACCAGACACTCGACTTGGTGGAGAAGTTGACGGCGAGTTATGAGCTCAAGTTGGACGACCTGAATGCCAGTTATGAGCTCAAGTTGGATGCTCTGAATGCCAGTTATGAGCTTAAGTTGGACGACCTGAATGCCAGTTATGAGCTCAAGTTGGATGCTCTGAATGCCAGTTATGAGCTTAAGTTGGACGCCCTGAATGCCAGTTATGAGCTCAAGTTGGATGCCCTGAAGCGCCAGCTGCGGGTGAGAATGTCTTGCTTGGAGTGTTTATACACAATTATTTACGAGTAAACATTTACCCAGAAGTGGCTGATACGTTCCTCAGCAGTACAAAAAGAAACCACGTCCAGAGAGAAATGGTGAATAAAGTACCGGTATAGTGATCTTTGTGTGTGGATCTTTGGTTGAGGAAAAATCTTGAACTGATAAAATGGACTCGCTTGGTGATACCCTTTGTATTTCTGCCTTTTTTAAGGTCTGAATGATAAAATTCTGGTTAGGACTTTCAAATTATCCTTAAAGAAAGTTTGTCAACCTCACGTAACGGTCGTAGTATGATAAGTTTATCATCCTCACCCTCTCACACACACACGCACGCACACACGCACACACACACACACACACACACACACACACACACACACACCTGCATGCACACACACACGCACGCTCGCACATACACAAACACATACACATTCACGCTGCACACACACACACACACAAACGCACACACACACACACACACACACACACACACACACACACACACACACACACCTGCATGCACACACACACGCACGCTCGCACATACACAAACACATACACATTCACGCTGCACACACACACACACACAAACGCACACACACACACACACACACACACACACACACACACACACATACACCCGCATTCACGCTGCTCACACACACACATATACACACACATCCATACGCTCACACACACATACACACACACATAAACATACACCAACACATAAACACACACAGACACACACATAGACACACACATAAACACACATACACACACACTTCAGATGTTGTGTTTTATCCTTGACCTTGCTCACCGGGCCAGCATGGATACCAACGCCCACCAGTACTGGCTGTGGAAAACGTTAATCCCTACCATACTGACAAATAGCCTGTGTTCTGGGTAAATGTTTATTTGTCTTATTTCTCTGCCCAGATGCTCTCCAATAACCTTTATTGTCCCAACCCTTCCCCATGGCCTGTCTGTTCTAGTTTTTTTAATAAGATACTGTCGGTCTACGTCTCCTTCTTTTGCCTTCTTTTGTTTTCTCATTTCTGTGTCTGGGAGATAATTCCACAAACTGTCTGACTGACCGAGAGATAAACTGACTGAGTGACTGAATGACTGACTGAGAGAGAAACTGTTTGACTGACTGAGAGAATTAAATGATTGATTGACGGAGAAATAAACTGACTGACTGACTGAGAGATAAATTGACTGAGAGATAAGCTGACTGAGAGTTAAACTGACTGACTGAAAGATAAACTGACTTACATATATACTGACTGATAGATAAACTTACTGATTGACTGAATGACTGACTGAGAGAGAAACTGACTGATTGACTGAGAGATATACTGACTGATTGACTGAGAGATAAACTGACGGAGAGATAAACTGACTGAGTGATAGAGAAATAAACTGGCTGGTTGATTGATTGACTATGAGATCTGACTGACTGGCTGAAAGATAAACTGGCTTTCTGACTGAGAGATAAACTGACTGACTTACTGAAAGATAAGCTGACTGACTGACTAAGAGATAAACTGACAGACTGACTAAGAGATAAACTGACTGACTGACTGAGAGATAAACTGGCTGACTGACTGAGAGATAAACAGGGGAACTGGCTGCGGCATTGACAGACACTAGGTTACTTAAGGTTACACTCTCTCAGCACGTCTGACGTCCTGCAGCAGCCAAACCGACCACACCCCGCCATTTCCCACAAC